TCCATTGTGATTGGCTTGAATATTTCGATCCCATTAAGATTTCGTATATCCTGATAAGTTATTACTCCCAAACAGAGTGTTTCATGGTTAAGTGGTCAAAATGAAAATATGAACTAAGGACTTGAAAATAAGAAAAAAATTTCCTCTGAAGGTATGTCCGCAAACGCTTTGTTTTGGAGATATTCACACTTAAAGATTTTCGTTGTTATAAATTATTTACGTTATATGAAATAAATAAAACCTATTTATTTGTTCTAACTACTTTATTAATTAAATGTAAACATTAACATTCATATTAAATGTTGTTCATAATCCACAATTTTTAGGAAAAATTCTCTGGATGAAGCTACCTTTACAACAAAAGGTATCTTCAATCAGAAAAATAATCATCTTTGGTCGCAGGATAATTCCCATGTAATTCGTCAGCATAATTTTAACTCTAGCATAATTCCCCAGCTCTCTCAAAAGAAAAAAAAAAAAAAAATCGTGGAAATAACCAACCATCAATTATTTTCATTGTAAGCTAAACTCAAAAATAGTTTCTCTTTCCTTATAACTTTTTCGAATTTTTTTTCGGGGATGTGCTGATTTTTCGTACCTCAAGGTGAAGATAATATTCAAAATGATGGCCCAATCGTTGGATCTGATGAAAATATAACCGACAAAAACAAAAAAAAATCCCTTTAAAAGGTAATATTAGTCCAGTAATATTAACACAAAAAAGGTCGGGTAATTCAAATTTCTTTACCAACAGAAATCGAGCTTTCGAAATGAGTACAGTTTTGAAAATTCGCAACAAAAAAATACTTAATTTTTTGTTTTTACTAATTATTTGTTTTCGCAGGCGACGTAACTCACAATTTTAAATTAAATATTAAAGCACACACAATCTACTACAGGTTTTATACGGAACATATTTTTCTAGACTTAATAACTTAAATACAAATCCCTAAAACGAAATAGATGTTTTGAAATTCGGAAAAAAATCTTATAATTTTTATTGTTTTCCACTTATTTTCATGAAATTGGTCATCAAAAATTATTGTTTTCGTGTTACTTTTAAATAAATTTTTTTCTAAAACGATATTTAAAAAGTAATATTATTCAAATTATATACCTTAGTGTTGTTACCATCTTTATATTAGCATAGGATTTCTTTACAATAGTACTCTTTCAGTTTTTAAAGAAGAAATACTGCAACTTCATTTGGAATCTCGTCCAGAGGTTTGGAGGTTTTCCTTGAAGATAATGAGCCATTGACTGGAGTGGTAGACGGTAGTCTGGAGATGTGTACATAGTGAATATAACAACTTTTTATTTTTTATATTTTGAATTTTTTACATTCACTACATATCTAACAATTTTAAAAAATAACTAAGGTGTGTGCTTTAGACCACACGATATAAGCGAAAACATCAACAAAGCGAGGTTAATAATATGAAATATAAATTATAAATAATAGCTCATTATAAAGAGTATGAAATGCTGAACATTTCTCTCCCTTACAGTATACAGGTCCGAATTTTAGTATCTGAAATATTTGAATCCATATGTTCAACTAAAATCGTTATCATTACTTTCCTACCTGTACTAGGTAAGGAAAGTATTGCGATCGGGTCAAATTTGCGATACACGGAAATTTTGTCTGTGACTCGGGAACTAGGGAACCGATTTTGAAAGCTATGTTTTTTTAAAGGAAATGTAATTCCCTACAAAACTATATAAAAATCGTTCATTTCGGACAACTATTAACGTAGTTACAGCTATTCTATTTCTAAAGTAAGATTACGGGTTCATATCCTGGTGTCAGAAAGGGTAAATGAGAGAAAAAAAGATTACTAAATGAAAGTAAGAAAATCTCTTGCCCGCATCACACAAGCTTCACTATTTTCTCTAATTTTACAGAAATTATTGTTTGACAAAATTAAGCTATGACAAAAAGTTTTTGATCAGCAATATTAGAGGCTATTGAAACTTTTACACTGATCTACCTTAAGCCGGTTTACATTGCTCTGGTTTATCAAAGAAATCGTACTCAAATCTTTTCTTTGATCAATTTTCAGGAAAATGAATCTAATTCAATTTTTTTTTTTTGTTTCTTAATGGATATATGTAATATAAAACTTTTCTGAAATAGGTAGGATAGTCGTGTGAGTGGACACGCCAGACTTTTTGGTTTTCGACCTTTTAGCCTTTCTAACACGGCATCGGATTATGATGCAATTTTGAACAATAGCTCATTAAAAAGAGGATGAAATGCTGAACATTTCCCTAGCTTACAGTATGCAGGTCCGATTTTTAGTTTCTGAGATATTTTAGTCCACTTCAATTAGTCGACTCTAGCCAACTTTACCCGAGCGTTAACATTTCGGAAATCTGACGGATCAATCTAATTAATTCTCCACAAAAAAGTGCAAAACGCGCTTAAAGAAGTTGTACTTCAAACAATTGAATTAGCCGACATATTGGAAGGTAATACGTCTAATATGACTGAGCTATGTACAAAGATTAATTTCAGCTGCAAGTATTGTCTCAAGAGGAAGTTGTGTGATGTGCTCACCAGATTTTATTGTTTATCATGTATATCAGGATTTATTATTCCTTATCAGAAAATAAAATAAGGAACAAATTGAATTTAATCAAATTCCATTAACTAATTCCGTTTACGCATCAGTTGCCATATTATCCTTGACACGCACATGTTTCAAAATAATGACACAGTTTGCAGTTTTAGTTAATTTCTTAAAAACAGGGGATCTCCATTCTATTAAGGTCATCGTTTAAGTTCTAATTTCGCTCGCTTATCTCTTAATTTGTCCGGTGCCAGCCCGACGACTAATTATACCAATTTTAAAAGTCTTAATGAGAAAAACAGATGTTGCTCTTCAATTTTCTTTTCCTTTAATGTTTAGTACAAACCGTTATAGTACGAGGTACAGACCCCTTTCTATAAAATTATCAACATCCGCCTAAAACTTCCTGAATAGCTTTATTTTTTCGTAATCTACAACTTGTTTATTTACGAAAATTTTTGGAACTGGAACGTTTTCAATTTGGAGGGGGAAGGGAACTTTGTCTATTTAATTTTTTTATTTTAATGAAATTTACAACTGTATTACATGGAAAATACAAGTAAATGTGACATTGGTAACATGAGATGTACAACATGAAGAGAAACTATCCATTGGTAGAACTCAAATTAAAATTCTATATTAGAAGGTCCCGAGGCCATCTTCATTTCAGACGCCTCGGAGGGTTATCAGGGATCGAGGAGGAAGCAAGGTTTGAAACGAGAGGGGGGGGGGGGAGGATTGGGCCAAATCGGAAACATATGGAACAATAAGGTCTTTATGGATGATTTTATTTGTGACAAAGTAAGGAGCGTTGAGGATTTTACGAAGGATTTTGGATTGTAAGGTTTGGATACGAGAGGGATTCGATGGTTTAGTGGTGCCCCAAGCTTTGTCTGTTTAATTAGGTACTAAAAACTCATGAATACTCAATCGCTTTCCACTTAAATCGTAACATAATTTGATTACAAAATCGAGAATAAAGGTGGCCTAGAAAAATATCGAGCTGTTTGACCTCCATCCCCAACATGCTAAAATAATGAGGTTATATTTGTAAGGGCACCTTTTTTATCGATTTTGTGATCAAATTATCTTACGGTTCAAGTGGAAAACGATTGAGTATTCATGAGTTTTTAGTTCTTAATTAAACAGACAAAGTTTGCTCCCCTTCAAATTGAAAACGCCCCAATTCCAAGAGTTTTCGTAAATAAAATAGTTGTATGTTACGATGAGATGAAACTACTTAAGAAGTTTCATGGGGATGTTAATAATTAGATAAAAAGGGGTCTGTACCATGAACTAAACCTGCTATAAGAATATTTCACTATTTACGCATCAACTTGCTTGTTACTTTGCATACGTGAAGGTACTTTATTGCTGATGTCGGGAAATATTATTGATGAAATCAATTGTTCACTGTCTTACGAAGGGACTATCTCATATCTTAAGGGGATATCTCTTCCTAACCTAGTAGCAAAGTACTCTTTTTGGTCAACAGGAATCATTTTGCAACACGACAATGCCCATGCACATCGACCAAGGAAAAATTATCGGAACTGCATGTAGTAACCATTCTGCCTAATCCTGTATATAGCCCAAATATTGAACCATCGGATTATGGCTTGTTTAGATCGATAGCTCATTTTTTTAAAATGTCAGATGTTTAATAATTACAAGGACATACAAATTGGATGTGAAGAGTTCTTTGCCTCAAAGCCAAAGGAGTAGTACCGGCATCAAATCCAATTACTGGCAAAAGATGGGCGAAAGTAGTTGAAAACATTGGACTTTATTTTAAGAGCAGTATTTAATGCTGTTTAAAATATGACTGTTTAATGCTGTTCTACAGAATCCTTCAATAATACTCCACTTATCTCTGTTGAACAGATCCATTACCTAGGACTCCACCTGGACAGACATCTTACTTGGAATCCTCATTCAAGATTGAAACGACAAATGTTTTTAGCTACTTCAACACTTACTAGACAAATGCTTAAACATTCCAATGAACTATAAAAGACTCATTTACTTGACTTTAATAAGGTCAATTTGAACTTATGGAGTTGAGCTTTGGGCCTCCACTAAACCGCCGGATTCCTCTCGTGTCCAATCCTTACAATCCAAAATCCTTCATAAAATCCTCAATGCTCCCTACTTTGTCACAGATAAAATTATCTCCAAATACTTAACCTTCCATTACAAACAAACCCAATTGTTTCTAAACTTGCTTCCTGTTCGATTCCTGACAATCCTCCTTGGTGTCTAAAAATATGAAATTATGAGAAGAAAATATGAAATTAAATTATACTTATTCACAAGAACTTTTGTGAAAATTTATTAGAAAAGAGAATAACGTTTACAAAATATATTTTGTTGCAAATTTAGTGTGAATCCACCTTTTTTAATAATTATGTTTATAAGCTGATGATTATGAATACTAGTAGATGAGAGGATAAATGAAACAAAAATTAACAAGAGCGAAGCGTTACACAAAATGTGTATAATGTCACACGCGAGATTACAATGATAATTAGAGCTTTCCAGTAATGTCATGATAGGGGAGTTGTCTAGTTCAGGTAATGTGTGATTACCTCAAACACTCATTCGTTTACGAACATTCTGTGAGAAACATCGAATTTCTGAAATCGAGATGAAGATCAAAAGCAAAGATAGGTATTTATCCATAACTTTTATAACATAAAAAAAAAATTAAAATTATTTACTAATAATTAGCGCCTAAGGCAAGTTCAGAAGTGGCATTCTTAAAGAAAAAATATTTGATTTTTAGAATAATATTACGTTATATGTATCATAAATTTATTCTAAAACAAAACAAGAGTTGTTTAATAAATAAATAGATAATTAATTTATATAATCACATTAATGTTCTCCTAAATGGAAACACGAAAGACTAACACATGATACTCAGAAACAATTTACTATTACATAGTCATTTGTTTTCAAAAGCCTCACAGAGGTGAATTTGACATTTTAAATAACTTTTTTTTTTTCTTATATACAGTGGCTCACAGTCAAAATGATACACCTGGATATTGATAGAAATTATTGAATAAATAGTTCAATTTATATTACATTAAAAGCAATGATTTATTTTAATCGAAAAACATATTAGTTAAGTTATATTTTCTTATTGAATACTTAATAGTTGACCATTGTATTATACAGGAAGGAGATGGTCCGGGGTGGAGGTCATAAATAAACTAATATGCAATTACGAATATACACGTACGCATAATTGCATATATTATATTATATATTATACTACAACAATTGTTACCATCTATTTACTTCAGTTTAGGATCTTGTTACTTATCATACTTACTCTATTTTATGGGCGGATCTACGGGGAGGAGGGGACTTTCGGACTGAAGCCCCCCCCCAAAATGGTAAAATGTAACCATGTTTTATGGAAAAAAATATTTAAAAATTATCTCTTAAAGTATTATTGTCCATGTAATCACATTTGAAAGGACTTTAGGAATGTTACTTAAACACTATTTCATGTAGGTAGTTAGTTTATTTTTTTTTTCAAAGTAATTATCGTTATTTTTATGAAAAAAAAGCTTTCGGGCTGAAGCCTCCTCCAAAATTAAATCCTGGATCCGCTAGTGCTTTGTTTATATAAATTATTGTTCTTAATATTTCAATGTACTTACTGTTTATAACTTCAATAAGTTTATTCACCTTGTTTATAATTTTTAATCGAAATATTTTGTAATTTCCACAATTTTTTATATCCTTTTGTATCTTGTCCGTTCTAGCCCTGAAGAAGACCTGCAAATTCGGGTCGAAACGTTAGTTTTTAATAAACTGGTTTGCCACTATTTTAGTGTATATATGACAGCCACTCCGGACCATCTCTGTCCTCTATATTTTCTTATGTTATTTTTCTTGTTCTTTTGTTATGTTTGGGAATATCTAGCGGCTTCTGGAGTAGAAAATCTTCACTTAATAGTGGGAATATTCAGATGGTATAGTGAATAAACATGTTTATATAGACATTTTGAGAAGAAACTTGTAAGAAATTGTGGAAAAATCGGGCTAAAAATTTTGTTTTAGGAGGTAAATGACCCCAAACATTCTGCAATGTTAGTGAAGGAATTGTTACTTTAAATTCCCTCAAAGTTGTAAAGATGTCACTACAGTCACCAGATCTTAATGTTATAGAACTCCTGTGGACAAAATTGGAAGTAGAAATTAGAAAACACGAAATTTCTAGCAAATACTTTAAAAAATATCTCCTCGAAGAATGGAACAGACTAAGCTCGGATTAACCAAAAAATTATCCGACTCCATTAAAATGGCTTGTTTACAAAGTATTGAACTAAATTAATAGTATTTGAAAGTTAATAAGAAGTGAGGTGTACCATTTTGACTGGGAGGTGATTTTAAATTAATTTTTTAAAATAATCTAAGTTAAATATTATAATTTTATTGAGTTTGTACATAGTTAGAATGAGATTATAAATCAATCTGTCTAAGATTTTCTGATTTTAAGTATTTTTACTTCATTTTTAATGAATTGAAAATTGTTTATTTGGAGTTATTCACGAATTAAATTTTGAAACGTTCTTCGTCGTAAACCTACGACTTCCTGTCCTACAGTATCCTTTATCAATACTCCACTTATCCCTGTTGAACAAATTCGATACCTAGGACTCCACCTGGACAAACAACATCGACTTGGAATCCTCATACCAGACTGAAATGACTAGAAACTGTTCGACGTTTTCGACTACAGATAAACAAACGCTCTAAAATTCCAATTATTTACAAAAGACTCATATATATATTACTATAATACGAACTTTCTGGATTTACGCTATCGAGCTTTGGGACTCTATTAAATCATCAAATTCCTCTCGAATCCTATCCAAAATCCTTCGTAAGATCCACAACAACACAACTTACAACTTACTTTGTCACAAATAAAATTATCCATACTGACCTTAATGTACCATATGTTTCTGATTTAACTCATTCCAGATACATGTCCTTCCATAATAAACTTCTGAATCCCCTCATTTCTAACCTTGCTTCCTCTTCTATTCCTGATAACCCTCCGAGGCGTCTGAAAAGAAGATGGCCTCGAGACCTTCTAATATATCACTACAATTGGAGTGCTACCAATTGGTAGTTTCTCTTCATGTTGTACATACGATGTCACTGTTTCCAGATTTACTCGTTGTATTTGTCATGTAATGCAGTTGTAAATTTCAATAAATAAATTTAAAAAATAAATTATTGTTACTTTTCGTCAGCCTCTTTTCGAGGAAATATGTATATAAGAAAACACTTTAGCTAATTTTCATTAAAGTCGTTACAGCCATTTTGCGCTATATCGGCCATATATAGCCTATAATGACACACGTTTTTTTAGCGATGAGATGTATATAAAAACACTCCTGAATTTGATTGAAACGCAGTATCAAAATTTCAAAGAAATCAGTGAAGAACTGTCGGAGTTTTCAGTAAAATAACATTTACATTTTTATTCACATACGAAGTTTCAAACTTTTTTCTTCTAAAAAAAATTAAAGTTCCTTAATAGCTACTAAACAAAAAAAGAAAATCAATTGAGAAATATAGGAGAAAAAAGTACTGAACTGTTTTGCCTTTATCTATTTATGAAATGATTAATATTAAAATTAAGATTCGCTGTTAAATATTTTATAAATGATTTTTTTTTTGTTGCAGTGCTCTAGGGAAAAAAGGCCTTTCAAGCTACATTCCAGCAGGAAGCGTAAAACTCCATTTTCAAGAATATTGTCAAAGTTCGACGATACACGGAGTCAGATACTTCGGGGAAGATAATCGTCCCGTTGCTGAAAGGTAATTTATACAGTGAGGTTTTTTTTAATTGGCAAAAATAAAAAATAAATGAATCATTCATAAAATATAACCTGTATAATATATAATATATAAAAATAACTTTGTCAATTTAATTACATACCAAAAACTCGTAAATACACATTTGCTTTCTACTTGGATCGTAAGATAATTTGATCACAAAATCGTGAAAAAAAGTGTCCTTCAAAAATATTGAGCCGTTCGGCGTGAACTACACCCCCAAATTTTCAAAATAAGGAGTCAAAATATAGGACAAACTTATATATTTTTACCCAATATATTTAAGTAAGGGCACCTTTTTTATCGATTTTGTGCTCAAATTGTCTTACAATCCAAGCAGGAAGCAAATGTGTATTTATAGGTTTTTGGTACCTAATTAAATAGACAAAGTTTGACCCACTCCAGAAAACGCCCCAATTCCAAGAGTTTTCGTAAATAAAATAGTTGTAGGTTATGATGAGATGAAACTATTCACGAAGTTTCAGGTGGATGTTAATAATTAGATAAAAAGGGGCCTGTACCAAGGATTAAACCTACTATAAGAATATTTCACTATTCACTATTCACTTGTTACTTGGCATACGTGAAGGTACGATAAGATAAGATTTATTGCTCATGTCGGATACATTCTTGATAAAATCAACTGTTTTCTGTCTTACGAAGGGATAGTACATCGATATCAAAATAATCGGGACAGACTTCCTTTTCTTAACTAACACATTATCTACAAATATATAAAATAAATTTTTGGTTTACACGAGAAAGACTTTTGCGGATTATCAGTATTAAAAATGTGGACGACTTTTTCGATTATCCCTTACCTCGACATTTCCGCCAAATCATGGAGGGTGTTCAATAAGTACAACCAAACCTATTCTAGCCAGAGTGGAGTGGCCCTAATGAACTTAGATCTCGGAACCTCTCTTAAAAAAATAATGATGTTTTATGAACTCTCCTACAAAAAAGGGACAACCAAATAAGGGAAAGTTTCTTCAGTCCGGTATGCGTGGTAACAATGGCACGCAAAGAATCTAATTATTATTTATGAATTGATTTTAAGTTAGAGGCACCCAGAAGGTTTTTTTTTTTTTTTTTTTTTTTTTAGGAAGGAGGGCATATTTTGACTAGTTTTTGAATATTTCAGGGTGGGAAGGGGATTACATTTCAACGGGGTTATGAATTTTCTTAAAGAAAAGTTTTAGAATAAGGGACGAGGAGAAAACATGGAATAGACCGCAGTTTAATTATATATAATCAACAATTTTCTAATTCTACTTTCCTTTGCTCTGTTTTTTTTCGAAAAGGTAAGCAATAAAATATCTTGGAAGAGGAGGGGAGGGAAGAAGGAGATTCTTGCGTCATTGACTTTGGGGGGAGATGGAGATGGGCACCCATGGTTTAAGTGAATCTTGAAGTCCTATTAAATGTAATTAGACGAACAATAATACTTTTAGAGATATATTTTACCTTTTCAGTTCGAAAGCCCCCTTTCCCCTCCCCTGTAGTCAACTGCGTTCGCCATTGATGGACTGTGGGTCAGAATGCTGAGGAAATGTCCTCTATACTCTCACAATAATTAATTTCCTCTATTAGTGACGGAGAAAAACTAACCGTATTACAAACAGATTTTGTGTACGAATGCAAAGCTACTATGGGGCCGGTACACTTCTATTTGGGAAGAAGAGGAATGCCGTCAGACTGATGGAAAATATGAAGAGTTATATGGAAAAGATGATGAAAACTAAAGTTTTATAAAAAGTTTTAAAACATTTTACATTTAATAGTAGGAATGTTTGTGATATGTCATCTCTGCAAAAACCGTGAAGCCGAAAGGGAGGAATAAATAAATAGATAACGTTTGTAAGGCATTAAAATGGAGGAGGTTGTTGAAGAAGAGTCTCTATAATCTACGATCTTTGGCTAAAAGGTCAATGGACGGATTATCTGATAGGGAAGAGGAAACCGACGAACAAATTAAAAATATTATGAGCTCATACAACAGTTATAAATATAGATGTATTTCATAAGAGTTATAATTAGAAGACAGAATTTTGTGCAAAACATTTTTATTTTTCGATTGGCATGAAAATTCGCATATAAAGATTTTTCGAGGCACGAAATACAAATCTTAACTTCATTTCTTCTTAAAAAAATATTTGAACCAGCCTTACTCCTTAGGTCAGCACTATGGTTTCAATTTTTTACTCATACTATAGCTTTGTGCCAAATATATATATTTATATACTGGATTGTGTTGAAAATAAGATTGCATGCACAAAATCTGGTATTTGGTCGAGATTCGAACAGAAAATGAGAATAAAGCACGTATTGTGAATAGGAAACATTTTACAGAAGAGATAAGAAAGAAAAAAAATCGTTTGGGGGCTTTCGGGCTGAAGCCCCCCCCCCAAACGATAAAATGTAACTACGTTTTACAGAAAAAAATATTAAAAACTATCTCTTAAAGTATTCTTGTTCATGTAATTACATTTAATAGGACTTCAAGAACCACTTAAACACCATTTCATATAGATAGTTAATTTATTTTATTTTTTTCCTAATTAATTATTAGGTTATGTATTAATAATTATTATGTATTAATGTATTAATTATTATTATATGTATATGAAAAAAAATCTTTCGGGCTGAAGCTCCCCCGAAAATTAAATTCTGGATCCGCCAGTGACCTTGCAAGAGGATGACCTACTCCTAGGACACTGGACACATCAATATATGTTAAATAAAATGTTTCCATTGCTTACCTTCAGATTTTTTTAAAACATAAAAACAGACTTATGGAAGTCGTTCAAATGTTTTTAATAATTTTTCTTTGTTTTATAAAATGAATCTTACTTTCTAATAGATCCTATAATGTTAAAATTAACTAATTTTTTAAATATTCTGTGTGCTCTTACTTATTGAATACATAGTCTTAATCTTGATTCTCTTTATATTTTTGCAGATTATCCTGGATATCGTTATTCTTGATATGTATGGGCTTGAATGCGTACCTGATCCAGCAAGTTTGGCAAAAATGGAACGAATCACCTGTCATAGTGGCATTTGCAGAAACAACTACTCCAATATGGAATGTTCCTTTTCCTGCAATCACTATCTGCAGCGAAGTCAAGTCGAGAGCAACAGTCTTCAACTTTTCTGAAGCTCTCTTTTCTGAAGGCGGAAATGAAACTGACTATTTAATGTATGATAATTTTAACTAATACAAAGCATATTATTTATTTATTTATTATGCTAAATCAAACTTAATAATAAATATCTTATTTAATGTTTTATATAATCTAAGGAGGTACTAATATATGATTTTATTCTTAATTCAGACAAATTTAATAATAGTATATTGTTATTTTAAAAACTTGGTTACATCACAAACAGTTTTATTAATTAAATGTAACTGAATAGTATAATAATTTGAAAACAAGTTTTTGTTTTCAAGTAAATTAAACCCTTGAAATTTATTTTATCTTCATTTTTTCAAGCCTGTTGACTCATTTTCTGATCCATCTGTTAAATTTTAATTTATAAAAAATCATATTTTATTACATTATTCAATTTCACAAAATTTGTCAAAATAATATGGTGTATAAAAAAAATGACTGTTTTTCAACCAAATTTTTGTATTATTATTTCTTTAAAATAAAATACAATTAATACTCAAAGTATAGTCCATTGTTATCTACCGCCATTAGCCATCTGCTAGCCAATTGCTCAATCCCATTCTTTGGAATGGCTGTCAAAGAACTCTAGAACCGCAGTTTCAACTTTTGCAAAATTAACAAATTTTTTTCCATGAAGAAAATGGGACATGGATCTAAATAAGTAATAATCCGATGGTGCTAGGTCTAGACTATATGGTGGATGAAGCAGGAGTTCGAACCCATGAAGTTCTTTAAAATTTTCTTTAATTAGACGGGAAGTGTGAGTAAGAGCATTATCTTGTTGGAATAAAATTCATTTACGGTCGATCAAAGCATGATAACAGCAGGACAACTTCACATACAACTTTTGCATTTGTTCGCAGTAGAGTTCAGAATTCATAGAGCATCCATCAGGAACAGATTCACAGGAACAGATAATATAACACCTTCAAAATTCCAAAAAATGCAAACGCAGATTTTTTTCAAATTGTCTCCTCCAAGCCATTGTTCAAGGATATTCGGATTTTGCCAGTAAATCCACTTTTCTTCACAGGTGACAATCTTCCGGTAAAATCTCATATCAGAAGGATTTTTCAATAAATTTTCACAAATTTCTAACATCTTAACTGATCGCTGAGGAGTAAGTTCGTGAGGAAATAGTCTGCCTGTTTTTCACCTTCCAGTAGCTGACGAACAGTAGATGACGACTAACAATATCTTTCGACGCACCACACTCCCTGGCAAGTACATGAGTACTTTTGGACGGATTTGACTCAACAGCTTCCTGTAGAAACTCATCAATGTCCATTAATGGTCACCCGGAGCTCTTCTTATTTAATAATTTCACAAGTTGCTTCAGTGGCTGTGAAATTTTTTTTCCAGTAATGCCTTAAAATTACAAGAATTTCATAGGCAACTGTCATGTTTCTTCTTTGAAACAAATAACTAAACTGAGGCTTTTTTTTAAAGAAGTCAAACGCATTAAACAAGATTAGAGAATGCTCTAAAGGGATTATTAAGAATTGCTAAGTATTAAAATATTTACAGTCCTTTGAAATTGATAAAACGGTCATTTTTTCTTTATACGCCCTATTATTACCAAATAGTTCAAACATACATTATATATGTTTTGATATTATTATTATTATTATTATACGGCTATAGGACCCACATGCTGAGTCCTGGCCTGCTCCAGTATTGACCAGGATATACTTTTACCGGGATATATATGTTTTCATATGCTTGTTTATAAAATAATTTACACTGCCAGCTTGAAGGTGGGCACCCAAAACTGGTTTGGGAACAAAAAAATAAAATAAAAAAACACTTGGCGTATGAGAATAAATTAATTTTAGTCTATTAATAAAGCAACTGAATTAAAGACTTCTTGAAAGAAATACAATTCATATGTTACTTTATATAAAACAGCTTAATACATAAATTAAATTTTGGTAGAAAGATATCATTGTCTGGAGATACCAAATGTCTGGAGCTAGCACAGATTGTACTGCTTTATATTCTTCTTTATTGATTTAAATGAACTATAGGACTTCAAGATATTTGAAGTGTAATTTCCTTGAAAAACTTTTTTGTATTAACAATAAATAAATAAAATCTTTACCTCTGCAACCCATGGATGGTATTGAGTCCAGTATTTTGAATGTACAATTTTTAGTCAACAGTTGTGTAAGGAGATAATATGATTGAGATCATGCTCAACTATCAAGTTTTATCCCTTAATTATTTATATAACTGAGAGTACCCACTTTATAGAGTTTAGATGTGTCCTAGGATGGTCTTTCTACCCCAGGTTCGATCCATGGTTAATGTAATAGAATAAATAATTACCTTATAAAACTGGATTTGAGTTAAGGATCTTGAGCATAGGAGCACTGAGTTAACTCACTCTGTATTATAAAAAAAAACTATTGTTATTAAAATCACATCGTTTACAATAACAAAATATGAAATATTAAAAATAATTAAGTATTTAAAACAGAACTGTAATAAACTTTAATACTATAAATACAAGCTTTCTGAGTGAATTATGATTTTTTATTCCAATATTGGCCAAGAAAAAACTTCATATTTTGGCACTTATTATTTCAAAATAAGCACATTTCAAGAATCACCTACAACTTATAGCTTAGTGTAAACTTTATCTGGGATCTTTCTATGAATTTTAAACACATTCCAACAATTTTATAGTTTTTGCGCAACTGAAACTTGCATATTAAAAATTTTGATGTGTATTTCACAGAATTTGATTTGACACTCGGGCATCATATTTTTGCTAATATATGCTTTATCTTTGGCTCAGTTAAATAGAAACAATTCTGTTGTAGTGATAAACAAAAAGGAGATGTATCATTACTATGTGACGATCATGTTGTTTGCGACGGTGATGATTATGCTGATGATTCAACAATGGAGTTCTTAGAGGAGGTAATTATGATTTATAAATAAACCATCTATTTTTGTATTTATTATTATTCTACTGAAATCATTATAAATACTGATAAAAAAAGTTAAAAGTATGTTTTTAGTTTGTTTTATAATATATCATGACGTTTTTGATCTGAAAAACATAATCTTAAGTCAACTAAATCTCTTTGCCATGTTGATAGTATCTGATAATGTAACTTATATTTGCTTAAAACTAAACAGGAGAATTGTCAGAATAATATATATCTCTGAGGGTAAAATAATAATATATATCTCTGAGGGTAAAATAATAATATATATCTCTGAAGGTAAAATAATAATATATATCCCTGGGGGTAAAATAATAATATATATCTCTGAGGGTAAAATAATAATATATATTTCTGAGGGTAAAATAATAATATATATCACTGAGGGTAAAATAATAATATATATCTCTGAGGGTAAAATAATAATATATATATCCCTGAAGGTGAAATAATAATATATATCTCTGAGGGTCAAATAATAATATATACCCCTGATGATAACATAATAATATATATCTCTGAGGGTAAAATAATAATATATACCCCTGATGATAACATAATAATATATATCTCTGAGTGTAAAATCTTTCCTCAGCAATATACTTTATTCTAAAGCAAAACATTTAAACAAGTTCACATAATTTGTAATCTTGTATATATAATACTACAATTTTGATTAAGAAAATTAAAAGGATTTGTTGACACAAAAGCAAATTATTGACATCTTATTTATCTATCTATCACGGCACTATAATTATTGATATCCAACAAATTGCATATAAATACTAATTCCTAATAAAAGATTCTATTATTTGATTAAAATATTTGTTAGTAAAGCATCGAAGTAGAATAGAATCATTTTATGAAATTTAGTTTCTTAATTTTATACTTTAACTAATATTAATTTTTTTTTTTTTAGGTAGCTCCACCATTTTTTGACACTATTTTTCTATGTAAGTGGAACAATACCGTATCTGAAAACTGTAGTGATATATTTACAAAAATAGTTACAGATGAAGGAATTTGTTACACCTTTAATATGCTTGATAAAAAAGATCTATTCCGAGATGATGTGTAAGAAATATTATTTTAATATCCAAACAGAAATTTTATTTTATTCTTTTGAAATTTTCTAATAATTTAAGTGAACTATTCATATAGAAAATCTTAATATGTAGGAAAAAGAAGTATTTACTTAGTTATTATAGTATTATAGTTTAGTTATTAATGTTATTTAAAAATGAACATATGAAGCAATTAAATGTAAAAGGTTGGAACAATTGACACAAAGTTAAGGTTTTGAAATTTCTTATAGAATACAAGGCTTTATAAATCCAAGACATTTTTTTTTTCTGTAGGCATTACAGACTTTGTCCATCTTTTTCAGCCTTAATCAGTCTTCTCCATTTCTGACTGTCCAGAAATATTTCTTTTCAGTTATCTGCATGCAGATATTGGGTCATTGTTGATTCGATATATCCATCTGATTTTTGGTCTTCCACGTAGTCTCTTGCACTAGCAGATCCAGGATTTAATTTTGGGAAGTGGCTTCAGCCCGAAAGATTTCTTTTTCATATACATATAACGATTATTAATTTGAAAAACAAATAAAGAAATTAATTATCTAAAGGAAATGATGTTTAAGTGGTTCTTGAAGTATTAAATATAAAATAAAATATAATTACACGAACAAGAATACTTTAAGAGATAGTTTTTAATATTTTTTTCTGTAAAACATGGTTATATTTTACCATTTTGAGGGGGGGGGGGGACTTCAGCCCGAAACCCCCTGTAGATCCGCCTGTAGTCTCTTGTCTACTATTGAGGAATTCGTTGTTGTGTAGAATTGAAACCTTAATAAAAATTAGATGTGACGAGTTTTTTGCCTCAAAATCAAAGGAATGGTACCAGCATCAAATCCAGTTACTGGCAAAAAGATGAGTGAAAGTAGTTGAAAACAATGGAATTTACTTTAAAGATATGTTTATAAAATATTGTTTAAAATATTAAATATGAAATAAAACTATAACTATGCACAAGGATTTTATAACAACCTCGTCTGTAGAATTTTAAAATGTGCTTCGACTCCTTTTGATCTATGAAATAGGTCAAGTTTATCTTTATGATACCCTAAGTGGATTGGCGGTAGGATGCTTATCTTTCGCCATCTGCGAGCCAGGTACCAAGAGTTTCTACCAACTACTTAGTTGAAGGACTGCATCCAGCCAACATGTGCTAAAAATCTTTAAATTTTTCTACATTATTTTTTAAAATTTTAATTCAAACACCAGCATCCTTGATACATAGCAAGAAGTCTGTAACTTATATTCATTTCAATCTACATTTATCTTATTCAGAAGGATGAACTATCTTTGTATATATTAAGAAAGTTATAATTAACCACATATTTCTATTTAGGAAAACATATTCTGAGAGTGATAACTTGCGAGTACAAGGTTGGTCTCAGGATGAAGGATACACTCCTGAAGCTCTGTTAAAAACATATCCCAATAGAGCGCTATTTTCTGGTACTGCAGGTGGCATATTTATTGTATTAAAAGCAGATCGTAATGACGCAGACTACTTCTGTAAGGGGCCAGTTCAAGGGTTTAAGGTAAGAGATGAATGAAATGCCATTAGAAAAACATTACAAGACCAAACGATAGAAGTGAAAACATCAACTCCTGCCTTGTTGATGATATGAAAAATGTTTTGTAAAATCTAAATTCAGGAAGTAATAACATCAATATATACAGTTATAATTGTGTAGAAACAATTTTTGTTCTACACTTAAAAATTTTAATAAAACTTAATTTTACATATTTTAATATTATAAATTTAACACATCTAAATGTTTCTGAGTCTGTTTTGAAGCCTATTTTTTGAAAGTTCATTAAATGTCTGACAAAATTGTCAAAAATCATCTGAATCGGACCAGATTTAGCAAAGTTACAGTGTATTATTTTTAATAAGCTGATTTTAATGTTGGTTCACTTGCCCGTTTACATTGCTTGGTTCATCCAAGAAATCGTACCCTAATGATTTTACTGATTGGTTTTTAGGAACATTAATCTAATTCAATTGTTTGTTTTTCCTAATAGACAAATTTAAAGTTGTATTTTTTTAAATAGATAGTAAAGCCATGTAAGTGGACACACTCGATTTTTCATTAAAATCATTGGTAACGATATATTAATTGTCTTTATTCTATAATTTCCATTTCCTCTACTACATTCCATATAATCGGAGTGATGGAGGAGGGCTATCACTATCTTTCTTAATTATTAATTTTATTTAGTTGGATTATACTATGTTTACCTGAATAAAACATCTAAATATACTTATTTTTTAGTGTTTTTCTAAGATTTAAAGTAACATATTAAATAAATATAAATAAGTTGATAAGTAACTGCAAGACCAAGACCAAAGGCCTAAAGCATTAGCATAGTAAAGTGTGTCTAAAGCACTGCTTCCTATAATATATATAAATATATCTATATATATATATATATATATATATATATATATATATATATATATATATATATATATATAATTTTTTTTATAAATTAATTATTTTTTTTTTATATTATTCATTTATTTGTAAGGAGAGCAATAATAAAAAGTGGGCACAGTGGATATAGTTTTAAAACCATTAATTGAGAAAATATACTTTATTTAATCAATATTATTCTATAGAAGAATTTATTAAAGAAATTATTGACCAACAAATAAATAAACAGGCTAAGAAAATATTAAATAAAACTTCTGTAATGAGTGGGTCAGTAATTTTCTGACAGAAAATTGGATAGAAACAATTAATTTCTTCTTTTTGCAGCTAATTAAAAAAATATCTATATTGACTTCTGCAAAGTAGTTTCTGAATTCTCGATGGTATTTAAATTTGGAGATATTTTAAATATTTAAAACGGTCATTATTATTTGTTTTGTTTTTTTGGCTCTATCTATTTCCCTATCGCTCATTAGGATAGGCTGAAAGAGGATGAAGTGCTGAATATTTCCCTTGGTTACAGTATGCAAGGTTGATAAATAAAATGATAGTTTCTGAGATATTTTAATCCAAATGAAAAATCACTCAACTTAAGTCGACTCAAGCGGAATGAGCGTTACATAGCCAAGCGTGATGACTCAGTCTCATTTTTACTCATAATATAAAGAGCTCAGTGCTTCTAAAGAAGTGTTAACTTAAAAAAAAATGTTTAAAAGAAATTTTTGTTTTATATGTATCGTCAATAGTTGGCTGATTTGTAAATATATTTGAAATTTTTTTAAAATATGGAATTGCTTAAAAATTCGGACTCTGTTTATAACCTTCTAATACACTTTAAAAAAATTCTATATATAGGCTAATTATGACGTAAATAAAATGATCTATTAGCCAATTTATTATTAAGTTTTTAAACCAGTGTATTAATTATTTGTTCTACTTGGTAGTTGTAAAAATAAATAATTTAAGAGAAGAATGGTTGAATAGATAAGTAAAAAAAACAAATTATAAAAATTAGTATATTTATTTTTATTTTTGCTGACATTTCGGCTTAAAGTTCAGGCCTTCTTCAGGGCTAAGAAAAAAAAAACAGATAACAATAGGTATGAGAAACTATTAACATTAAAAAATTAAAAAGAAAAATAATATTTAGGTGAAAGGTATAGTGTAAAAAATGTAGATAGAATAAACTTAAAGGAAATATAAAATAACGATAACAAAGTTAGGGATAGAGAGTAGTAGAAGAGAGCCAGCACTTTGTTATAGTTATTTTATATTTCCTTTAAGTTTATTCTATCTTCTTTATTTTACTTTAAGTTTATTCTACCTACATTTTTTACATTATACCTTTCACCTACATATTATTTTTTCTTTTTAATTTTTTTTAATGTTAATAGTTTCTCATACCTATTGTTATCTGGGTTTTTCTTAGCCCTGAAGAAGGCCTGAACTTTGGACCGAAACGTTGACAAAAATAAAAATAAATATACTTTTTTTTTTGACTGATCGACCCTACCATTCTTTTTTACAGTCAAACATAAATCTACAGTTGTAAAAAAAAAAAAAAAATAATAAATACAACTAAAATAGAAGTTATTTATATTTCAGATGCTTTTACACAATCCAGCTGAGTTTCCTATGGTAAGAGAGCGATATCTGCGGGTTCCTTTGGGGCAGGAGGTAAATAATAAAGATATCATTTTAATTACCTATATATATATATATATATATATATATATATATATATTATCTGTATACTCCTATCAGCATTCCTGTTATTTTATTAAAGTTATTAAAAAAAAAAGTTGTTAAAAATCAGATAGAAAAGGAATGAGTAGCAAAGCACTATCACTAATTTCGCATTTCCCCTCATTTTTTGTTTTTTGAAAAAATATAAATTAATGTTTCTTAAATGTTTAGCTGAAGAAATTAAATGGAATTTTAAATTCAACTGATCTACTGAATTTCTTATGTAAGTTGTTCCGGAATTTAAAAAAATGGAACACCCAAAAGAAGCTTTTCTACAACCAAATCAATTTGGAGGAGCTGTTAAGATGTGCAAAAATTAAAAAATTAGAAGAAATATAAACGCTTGGACAAGCCTAAATTTTTTTTAAAATTTAACAAATTTTCAGTTAATTAATACCAAATTTCAGCTCATTTCATCCAAATGGAGTGGGTAAAAAATATACAGCGTGTCCAGTAATTAAAGAGAAATATATCAAGAGATGATATAAAATTTCAAGAGCTGAAAAATTGTTTATATAAACCATGGTCTAATTTTCTGCAGAAAAGAAAGAAGTTTACGTTTTGTTTTTAAAAAAGTGACATGTTTTTTGTTTAATAGAAAGCAATAACTAAGAAAATATTTTATTTAGGGAATTAATGATTCATAGTGAACCATACAAATTTACTTTAAATGCAAGTAAAGTTTGTTTCATCCATATAAAGGGAACTTTTAAGTGGCGAAGTTATGCTAAGTTCATATTATCATAATAAATTAGGAGTTTTTTATCAACCTCGAAATGGACTATAGATAAAAATAATACCCTCCCTGAAATGAAAAAGCTGAAAAAAGACAGAAAACTAGCAAAGATGGATTGAGGCCCATCTACTCCAATAATGGCCCAAAAAGAAGGAGAAAGAAGAGGCGAATGATATAAATTAATATTAATATCATCTTTGTTTATTGGGCATAATATGTTAAAACTAAATATACTACTAATGATAATATTTAATCATTTATATACATATTATAATTATATAATATATTTAATATTTCTCACAGGTTATAGCTATGATTCAACCGAGCATAATGACAACCAGTAAAAGCTTACGATCGTATTCTCCTGAACAGAGGCACTGTTACTTTCCATCAGAAAGATATTTAACCTTTTTTAAAATTTACAATCAAGCAAACTGTGAATTGGAATGCCTTACGAACTACACTTTGAAAGCATGTGATTGCGTTGCTCTCCATATGCCTCGTAAGTCTCAATATGCAGTAATAAATTTTTAAAAAACTTATATATAATATAAAATATATACAATATAATATAATATTAAAAATAAATATAAAATAAATCTGATAAAAATTAATGCATCATTGTAATTCATGTTAAAACGCGTAGGAACACTCTTGAGCTGGGCTGTTATCAGCCGAGCCCGTATCAGTAGAAAAATGTTTCATATTTTAATTTTTTTTTAATAATATAATTTATGTATTAAGGTATTATTAAAACAAAACTTATTTACTACATTATAATAACAGTATTGGTTTACAAAAAATATAGCACATTTTTTTAGACCTTGTAGATCTTTTGATACCTTAACAAGCCTGCTCCATCTCTGCCTGTCTTAGGCTATCTTTTTTTTTTCCCTGACAAGAGGATGCACAGCGGCCTTGTGGAGAGCCCTTCCTAGCAATGCAGTCAGCTTTTTCATTGCCTGGAATGCTTGAGTGGCCAGGCACCTATTCAACCATCACCTTGTTGGTGCTATAGAGAATGTTAAAATTACCTTTACACCCATCTACCAGCTTGGAACGAGTTCCATAACTATTCAGAGCACCAATCGCCACTAGACTATCCGTAAAAATTGAAATAAATCTGTTCATAACTCTCTCCCTTAGCGGGGATTGAGCACAGACGTGGATAACTAAAACCTTGGCTTGAAAGAAAGACGTATGTCTATCTTGAGATAATATATAAACATTAAGATGAAACAGTATCGATGAGTGATTGTCAGGGACCAGTTATGTTTTTCCAAAAGAGATAGAATTAAACAAAAATAATATAAAGAACTATTTAATTTTATTCTTTTTCCTTTGTTGCAAAAATCTAATTGAGCCTCAACAATAAATTATTACATTATAGAGAGTAAGATTATTTAATAAAAAGAGATTTTATTTCTCATAATTAAAAAAGTATATGTTTTCTGTTTTAGGAAAAGGAGATACAAAGATTTGTGGCCCAGGGAAGAAACGATGTATGGTAGAAGCTGCCCGTACGTATTTTTGAAAAATTATTTTAAAAGGTTTGAAATATTATTGTACTGAAAGTAAGAAATAAAAATACCATCGTTTTACAGTCTCATATATTTATGTTTAGTAGCTTTCGGTGCTATATAACATATTTATCTTTACTATGCTCGTTCAATCCATTTTATGGACTTCGTTTTTTGTATAAATTTTATCAATCATTATAGATTGGTGTCAAAAATTTACAAAAAAATTTTGTTTGTGCTTTTCGTTATTAAAGGAGAGAGGACCCCTGTTGTCCTTACTTTCCGGTATACTGTGTTACTCTTCTCAGACTATTTAATAATAATGTAAGTTATAAGATAAAAGTAATTACGAGTTCGTGCCTTAGTGCCGAGAGGGCTTTTAACTTTCTGACATTCTCTGCCCTCTCTCCTGGCCCAACAAAAACAGATTTTATGTAAATTAAAGCTAGCTTCATTAGTACTTTTGTGGCCCAATTTGTTTTCCATTCGCTATCGATGAACAATATTTATATATTGTTTTACAAAGTGACAAGAATAAGAACTAATGGCTATTATACCTTTCTGTTAAAATATAAGGAACATTGAAAATCTTTAAAATTTTTTAACCTCCGGAGAATTTAACCTGATTTAAATACAAAAATTTTTGCCTGCTTGCAAAGACTGCCTAGAATTAATTAAAACACTAATAAAAAAATTAAATGGAATAATATTTTTTGTTAGTAGAAGGTTCTTAAATGTCATCGAGTTAATTTTCAGTAGGTAATTTTTTTTTTTAACTCTCATATTTGTATTTTATAATATCAAGCTTTATTCACGACAAATATTATCAAAACACTTCTGTTGTTATCAGTATATTTATGCTTTATATAAACAATTTTCTAGATATTTATTTTATTTCTACTTGAGTTTATAATTCAGTTAATTTTAAATATGTTTTTGATATTTCTGTTCTTCTTCTAGGTTTATTTGATACAGATAACTGATTTACTGTATTTAACATCAATTTTTATAAAGAGTTTATTTAATATTTATTAAATTCTGTTCACAGATAATCTCCGTTTAAGTAGAATAGTTTCAGAAGACAAATATGACCTAACAAAATGTAACTGCCTGCCTGCTTGTACTTCAACTATATACAGTGCTGAATCTTCTCAAGCAGAATTTGCATTTCTTTCTGTTGTCAATGTATATGGTGACAATGTCACTGAATATGCAGCGTAAGCATTCTGATTTAAAATAATATATTTCTGTTTTATAATAAGAATGTTTTCTATTGAAAACAAAATTAAATTACGAAATGTACTAGAATACTTATATATTAAACAAATAATCATTTCAAAATGTAAAGAAACATCACCTCAGAACTGGTTGATGAAAAAAACATCTTGTAGCTGTGTTGTTGCATGATAATACAGAAGACACTGGTGAGCCAAGAAGTAACCTGCTGGATATAGTATAAGTTTATTGATTTAGTATATAATAAAACAAACTAATATCCGAGAAAACAGGACTACATATCTCTTATGAAAAAACAGAAATTATGACAACAGATACCAACTTCACCAAGAAAATATTGAACACAAAATATGGGAAAATAAAAGTGAAAAAAAAAATTCAAATACCTAGGGGAGATAATATGTAGTAACGGAAAGGATAAGGCATCAATCGAAGGAAGAATAACCAAACTGGAAAAACTGAACTTCGCCACCAGGAATGTTTACAACTAGAAAAATTTGTCCTCAAATGCAAAAATAAGGCATTACTATACAGTAGCAAGACCTGTAATATTATATGGTATGGAAACAGTCAGCCTTCCGAGCATAGAGAAAATCCTGAAGATTGAGAGGAAGATTCTGATGAGGATTCACGGACCCAAGGTAACGGAAGAAGGATACAGGCTTAAATTCAATAAAGGAATATACAGAAATTTGGAATATTTGGAAACAGTCGTCAGAACCACAAGACTGAGGTTCTATGGGCAGGATGAATAGTGAAAGACTGAACAAAAAAATTTTTGAGAAAGTTTGCAGCTATAAAAGTGTGGGGGGATATGTAAAACAAATAAAAGAGGAACTAGACAGGCTAAAAATCAAGGATAAAGATTGCTTGGATAGAGAGCTTTTTAGGGAAAAACTGAAAGGGGTTGGGGTTCTTGTAGGTGGGAGGGAGAGACGAGGGAGAAAATGGACAAAGGAAGAGCGAGAGGAACAGTCCAGGAGGATGAGAGAGTATTGGAGTAAGAGGAAGGCTGAGGGTGTGAAGAGCAAACGGAAATGATATTCGCGTGGTCCTTGCTAGCCGGTTCGTGGAAAAAAAAAACTAATCACCTTTTATAATATATACTTACTTACTTATCCGGTACTTCTCAAAAACAAGAGTGTATTGAAATAACCATTTATATATTTGTTTGTTCAATAGTTTGTAAAATTTATCTTCATAAATTGACTTTCTACAAGTAATAACGTAAAATCAGTTTTAAATTTACATATATTTACAGGTATGATGCATCCCGAACATCAATTTTCTTCAAAGATGTGCAGTTCACAACAAGTCGTAGGAATGAGCTTTATGGAGTTGTTGATTTCCTAGGTAAATCAGCTAATTTATACTAATACAATATTATTAAATTAATAAGTGTGTGGGCAATAAATGTTGTGAATATATATACATATTTTTTTTTCCAGCTAATGTTGGAGGTTTATTAGGTCTATTTTGTGGAGTGAGTATTCTCAGCTTTGTCGAACTGTTGTATTACATGACCTTACGCTTTTGGGGAAATATAAAAGCCTTTAAAAAAGCCAAAAAGAAAAACGAAGAAGTTTAAGGCACTTAGTCTGAAGATCCAAGGATAAAAGTAAATTAAATCGAAATAATATTCAGAAGCAAATTTTCATATTCTACTTGATCTAAGTTACGAGCTAAAATTATTTGTCAAAATTAAGATAAATGATGAATATGACATAATACATACTATGAACAAAAATAATATTAGACAAATACTTATTGAAAAAAAAAAAAAAATTGCCAAGAATGAACATTTTTTTCCTTGAAACTTGTTTAATATGTATTATTTTGAGCTTTATTGAGTTTACAAAATAAATAATATTAAAAATTAATTGTATTTTCATGTTTGATAATAAAATAAAATATTGTTTTAGTTGTATCAGTTACAAGTGGTCTATCAATGTACATGCTTTAGAATTAAATTGTAATAAACAAAAAATACTGACTTTCAAGAATTTTATTTAAAACACCCTAAATAGCCTAGCTGTAGCGGATCTTGGACTTAATGTTGGGGGTATTCATCCCAAAAGATTTTTTTATTATTTATATATAACGATAATAACTTTCCAAGAAAAAGAAAGAAACTATCTATATAAAATGATGTTTAATTTTTAATATTTTTTCATAAGACTTGGTAATATTTAGTAGCTGTATATGTATTATGATTTTATTTATTTATTTTTTATTAACGAAATTTACAACTGTAATTAATAATAGAGAGAAACACTTTATTTTCATAAAATATAAAGGATTGCTGCCCAATTATATTGGGTTGCTATATACACAGCATACTCTTCTATCCTTAAGACAATATATGAACTTATATATAAATATACAGAAGTATTAGTTAATATTAGTAAAATATATATATATATATATATATATATATATATATATATATATTATATATATATATATATATATATATATATATATACATTTTTATTATTTTATTTATTTTTATAATTTTTTTTTTCCCTTTTTCCTTCTTCTCATTGTTCATGCTTTTTTTATTTTTTTTTATTTAACATTAAGTTTCCCTTTCTCTCACTTCTCTCTCTTTATCTCTATTGTTTTCAATTATTCACTAAATAAATAAATAATAACAAGTAAATATGAACAAGTAATATGACATGCACAACATGAGGAGAAACTACCCATTGGTAGCACTCCAGTATTATGATTTAAAAAAAAAACTTTGTTTAATTTAGCGAAATTTAATTTATTTAGCATATATCACTCATGTGACAATAATAATTTTTCCATTTTTAAGGCTTCAAAAAATCCAAAAATCCCCTCCTCTTGTAGATCCGTTGGTGTAGACTTGTTAATATTTCTCTATGAAAGAGATGTTTTGAGTAATTAAAAATGTTCTGCTAGAATTAAAATTGTTAACATTCTGGAAAATATCAGTTTTTATGTGAAAATAGCTATAGAAAGGCTTAACGCAAGAAAGTCCCATGGGATGGACAACCTATCATCAATAGTGGATTTAATTTTGGAGCGAGTGTTAGCTCGAAAGATTTTTTTTTCATATATGTATATAAGGATAATTAATTTGAAATAAAAGAAAGAAATTAACTATCTATATGAAATGCTGTTTAAGTGGTTCTTGAATACTATTAAATGTAATTACACGAACAAAAATAGTTTTAAAGATAATTTTTAATATTTTTTTATGTAAAATATGGTTATATTTTACCATTTTAGGAGGGGAGCGGAGGGGCTTCAGCCCGAAAGATCCTCCTCCATAGATATGCCTGTACCTACCATCAGAATTTTAAAGACGAAGGAGAAGAAATAACTGACAAAGTACTTCAAGAAAATATGGTAAGGGGAAATGACACCAGAGGTCTGGTACATGAGTCCATTAGGGGTTCCTTTTTTTTGGGGGGGGGAGGGGGAACTTCAGATCAAAAGATTTTTTTTCATATATACAAAAATAATTAATTCGAAAAAATAAATAAATTAACTACATACATGAAATGGTGTTTAATTGATTCTCGAAGTCCTATTCAATGTAATTACACGAACAATAACACTTTAAGAGATAGTTTTTAATATTTTTTTTTCTATAAAACATGGTTATATTTTACCGTTTTGGGGGGGGGGGAGGAGGAGAAGAGAGCTTCAGCTCGAAAGCCTCCTTCCTCCCCAATAATTACTTAATAACAATAATTACTTGGGAAGAAAAATAATAAACTAACTACCTGTATGAAATGGTTTTTAAGTGGTTCTAGAAGTCCCTATTCAATGTAATTACACGAACAATAATACTTTTAGACATAATTTCTTAATATTATTTTCATAAGAAATGGTTATATTTTACCATTGTTTAGAGGGGAGGGGGAGAGAAGGAACTTCAGCACGAAAGCTCTCCCTTTCCTTAGATCCAACTTTGCACAGACCTGATCTACTCTATCCATGTATAAGTTTATTAATTACGAAGGCATAGAACTTTTTCTTTTTGCCTTCAAGATGAAAATAGCATAAAAGTGGGGAAATGTGCAATTTGATGGAACAAAAATCAAAATCTAAAAAAAAAAGAAGCAATTTAAGCAAAAACCGGCAAAACGTGCAATGAACTGATAGTTTCCGGGAAGTTGGTTAGATTGTGGAAAGCGTGTACAAATGATACTAAATGTCGACTCCTAATTCAAGGAGAAGTAATTGAAGCCTTCAAAGTTCCAAGTGTCTTGCAACAGGGAGATATGATCTTTTGTCTGTGATCTTCAGTTGAACTCCGAGCAAGGTCATGTAAAAATTAATGGATAGACGTAACAAAAACAACCAAGATGATGTCGCTGTCCTTGGAAACAATCAACAGTACATTGAGAGAATTGCTAAGGCTAGAAAAAGAATTTTTTTTTTTAATTTATAATCTATTTATTGAATAATAATACAATCAGCTGCTGTTAGAGGGCTATAAGTATTAGGGCTAAAAGTTCTCATTCATACAATATATACAAACAATAGAGAAATAAATATAAAATGTAAATAAATAATACTGATGAAGAAAGTAAATAAAAAGAAAAAAAATAAACAAATAAAATAAAATAAAAACTTCTAAACACAATCATACCTATTTACAATATATACATTCGCCCAGGTTAATACCCCACTTATCCCTGTTGAACAAATCCGATACCTTGGACTCCAGCTGAACAAACGTCTCACTTGGAATCCTCATACGAGACAGAAACGACAAGAAACAGCTCGACGTTTCCGCTTACTCTAACACAAAGGCTCTAAACTTTTAATTAATTACAAAAGGCTAATATACATGACTACAATAAGACCTATTTGGACTTATGGAGTTGAGCTATGGGGCTCCACTAAACCATCGAATTCCTCTCGTATCCAATCCCTACAATCCAAAATCCTTCGTAAAATCCTTAATATCCAACACTGTCATCACCACCTATGCCGATGACACGTGTATCCTATCAGTTAATAACGATCCTTTAATTGCATCCCAAACTCTTCAATCACATATCACAAGCCTTGAAGAATGGTGTAAAAATTGGAGAATAAAAATAAATTCCAACAAATCCCATCAAATCACTTTTACCCTCCGTCGTAAACCTATGACCTCTTGTCCTACAGTATCCTTCAATAATACTCCACTTATTCCTGTTGAGCAAATCCGCTACTTAGGACTCCACCTTGACAAACGACTCACTTGGAACCCCCATACCAGACTGAAACGACTAGAAACCGCCCGACGTTTTCGACTACTGCAGCGCTTACTAGACAAACGATCTAAGCTTTCAATCAATTATAAACGACTCGTATATATGACAATAATAAGACCTATTTGGACTTACGGAATTGAGCTTTGGGGCTCCACTAAACCATCGAATTCCTCTCGTATCCAATCCTTACAATCCAAAATCCTTCGTAAAATCCTCAACGCTCCTTACTTTGTCACAAATAAAATCATGCATAAAGACCTTAATGTTCCATATGTTTCCGATCTGGCCCAATCCAGATACCTTTCCTTCCATAACAAACTGCAGAATCATCCGAATCCTCTCGTTTCAAACCTTGCTTCCTCCTCGATCCCTGATAACCCTCCGAGGCGTCTGAAAAGAAGATGGCCTCGGGATCTTCTAATATAGAACTTTAATTTGAGTTCTACCAATGGGTAGTTTCTCTTCATGTTGTACATGCCATGTTACAAATTTCTCATTTACTTATTGTATTCTCTATGTAATACAGTTGTAAATTCCATTGAAATAATAAAAAAAAAAAAAAAAAAATCCTTAATGCTCCTTACTTTATCACAAGTAAAATAATTCAGAAAGACCTTAATGTTCCATGTTTCCGATTTGGCCCAATCCGGATACCTATCCTTCCATAATACACTTCATAACCATCCGAATCCTCTTGTTTCTAACCTTGCTTCCTCTTTAATTCCTGATAATCCTCAAAGGCGTCTAAAAAGAAGATGGCCGCGTGATCTCCTTTTGTAGAAATATTATTAGAGTGGGTAGTTTCTCAACAAGCGTTTTCATGTGATTATATTTCTGTGTAACCATTTACTTGATGTACATATATTAATACAGTTGTAAATATCATAAATAAATAAAAAAATCATAAATATCGAATGGACGATATCGATAGTCGATAATATTTAAGCAGATACTATCGATGTTAAAATATCGATAGTTGGAATGAAAATATCGATATTTCGATAAAAAATAAAATAAAATAAAAAATAATTTTAGTATAATTGAAATATCGTATGATATTTCTGTACTACGTGGTAGGTTTTATTCAAGGTTATTTGAGTGTGAACGCAAATCAAGCCGCAACAGGACTATTAAAGAGCGCATTAAGCCATTCTGTTTTGCCAGAATGAGATTGGGTAACGATTTGATCCATTAGCCATTAAGATGGCTTCAATTTCCTTATGTTGATACGTTTCCTTGAGGGGAAGCAAATCAATCAAATGGAAGGTGCTTCTGAAAGCATTTTGATCAGCTATCTACTAAATGACCTCTCTGACCGTCACCAAATGTTTCCACTATAGATCATCAAAATTTTTTTAAATAGTCTTTATTGAGATATATTACAATCGGTCACATTCAAGGACAATAGTAATAGTGATAAAGAGTAGCTCATTGATACTATGCAAAATAAGTAAAAATATAAACTAAAAGATGCTAAACTAAACGAATAGAAACTAATCGAACAAAATAAATACTTAAATACATACATGATTTTATACTCAATATCTCCGAGCCAATCCTTTCCCCACACTCGTGTTGGGAAAGGCAAGACTCTAGGAGATCCCAGCGTCTTTCACTCAGCTGCATCACTGGTATTACCTTCATAAAAAATACATTATGCATGTCTTTAGATTCCAGACGGTTATCGGAGTACAGGCAGAACTATGGGAGGATTTCAGGCTGAAGCCCTCTCTCCTTCCCCCTCCCCCCCCAAAAAAAATGGTGAAATGTAACCATGTTTTATGGAAAAAATATCTCCATAAGTTCGTGCGATTACATTTAATATGACTTCAAGAATCACTTAAACACC